CCTCATCTATATCTTCAGTAGTACTTAATTAACACCCCTAAACCCCTTTATTGATCCCTAAGCACTCTGAGTGGGAAAAATCACCAATGATACTCATGTCTTCCATATGAACCGATGGGTGCTAAGTTCTAATAAATGAATTGATCGTAATGAGACATATATATATGTTGATCATCAAGATTATAATAGTTTTGAATGTGTATCATATCAGCTACATATACCAACCAAGGATGTGTAGAGCATCAGTTCCAACTTAGAAAAATACTTTAAGGACCCAAAATATGGGACCAATAAGGGGGACAAGTGAGGTGTCCCCCTCCTATTGGATAATGAGTTGGCCATCATTAATGATGACCAACTCATTATCCAATAGGAGGGGGACACCTCACTTGTCTCCTTCATTGGTCCTATATTTTGGGTCCCTGTAGCAAATCATCATCAAAAAATATGTGATTAATTAATTTGGAGATCGATGAAAGAGAGAGAGTGATTTTTTATTTTTGACATGCGTATTAATGTTTTTGATGGGAGAAAGAGAGAGCAAAGGGAAGGGGGTCCAAGCTCTGAAAACATTGACAGCGAGCGGCTGAGTGTCGCCAGGTGCTGCTCTCCATTGTTTGGCCAGTTCATTACGGGTCACTCAATTGGCCCGTGTCTTTTTTCCCTTCCTAATTTGCCTACAAATATTAGCCTCCTCGGGAATGATACATATATTCTCTCCTTGTGAATATTTACTGGATTTTCTTGAGGATTTTGTTTCTCTATTATTTCCCCTCTTTTTTTCCTTTCTTTCTTTCCTTTTTAGGGATGCTTGGTTTTCATGCGCTTGTGAGGACTTCTCACTTTTTGTAGGCTTAACATAAATGGAAACTAAGCAAGTGAAAATTTAGAATCATCGTGCCTCTCCTTTTTTTGGCATTGAGCACCTTGTTATTGCATGATTCCTAGGCTGGCTATCCACAATAATGCTTGAAATCAAAGGGAAAAAAAAATCCAACTCTTACTTTTTTATGTTTATCTCTTGCTTTTCATGATATTAATCGGAACAATTCCTTTCATTTATCAATTAAAAATTTGAGGAAATTTTCAATTAATTTAAAGAAGAGTATAAATTTTCAGTTATTAGTAGTTCATGAAAGAAGATAACAAAGCTTATCAGAATTACGTACATCCAGTAAGGGCCTGTTTGGTTCCCTGTTTTTGAGGGAAAGGCTCTCTTGAAAGCCTGCAAAAAGTGTCAAAAGTATCACTTTTTTGCAGGCTTTCAGCCAAAATCTTCTTTTTTAGAGGCGATTTTCGCTGAAAGCCTGCCAAAAAGTGACACTTTTGGGATTTTTGGTAGACTTTTATGAGAGTTTTTCCCTCAGAAAAAAGGGAACCAAACAGCCCCTAAGCTAGTAGTGTTTTCTTAACCAAGGAGGGTGAAATCTCAAGATAGCTCAGTATCTTCTCTTTGAGTAGCTCAGAACATCCTACTAGGTCGAATAAAAAATTGCACTAGCTATTTATAAAAGATAAAGGGTTTAGAATTGTTTTCAATTAGGAAAGAAAAAAATATTGAGGAGTGGGTTTTGGAATTTTCTAAACCTCTAAGGCGTGTCTCTTGTGTTGTGCAATTGATTGCACTTGTGCAGACATGCACGAATTAATGTAGCAAGATGTTTGCTTGGCAAAAGGTTAAGATATAATGATTAAGCCAACACGTCTAAAATGTTTGCAAAAGTTAATTAAGCCGTAAAATAAGTAGCTAGAAGAATTCCGCATTAGACACGTGTAAAAGGATTTGGTCTGACTAATAATTAACAAGCAAACATACTTAATGTTCTTATCTTCTTCTTGTTCTCTTATTTTTTTTTTTTGGTCCTTTTTCATCCTTATATCTTTTTATAGGCAATTTTTTCCTTCTTCAATTGATTTTTTTCTTTTTAATTTAGGAGAAAAAGGTGTTGTTACCTCTGTTTATTACTAAAATATAATAAAAATACTTATTAATCTATGGTTTAAATTACTGAAGTAAAAATACTTAGCTTACATGAGGACGAATATTCAATTTTGAGCCATAGAAACTCATAATTTTTCCTTGCAATTTGTAAGAAAAAGTCTCTTTCTGTCTAGTAGTACGACTCTTGGAATAAAAAATTTAATATCTCTTATAGCATAGCTATCACAACTCATATAAACTTCTTACAACTTCCAAACTATTGAATGTCTTTCTTTAAATACTTTTCTTCGGAATTTAAGCACAAAAGAAAATTTATCGATTAGTCATTTGGTTTGAATGAAGATATTGATCAATAATTAGCCAAGTTTAGTAGGATAAAATAAAAGTTTTTATATGAAAACCACCTATACTTTTTCCCAAATTGATAGTTACCACCTACAATTTTTTTGATGAATACCACCTTAAATTGCTTACATGCTTTCAATGTCACATCAATTTTTGTTTTCAGCCCAAAAACACCTGACGAAGATACCCCCCAATCACTCACGTTTAAAACACGTGTCCCCCCCATTAACTCACCCCAACCTAACCCTAGGTAAGAGAAGGCACAGGAATCTCACGTGCCTTATCTTCATCATCTTCCCGACATAAACTCAATCTCATTCTGACATTAAACCTCTCTCCTCTTCTGAATCTTTGTTCCCTAAACCCCCTCTCCTCTTATTCTTCTTCCCAAAACCCCATCTTTGTTCTTGGTTACTTTTCCCAAGTGATAATTCAATTATCAATGTCTACTGAATATTCAACAGGTCCTTCTTCATATTCTCATGGATCGATCCATGGATGTTTTGTGTAAATACAAACTGAGGGCTTCAATGCTAACTTTGAAGACTGAAGCTAACCCAGGGAGAAGATTTTTCAGTTGTCATTTCTCAAGTCCTTCAGTTTGTGATAAAATATGTAATTTTTTATGTGGTATGATGGTGATATTATTGGGAGGCCAAGAGAAATGATGAATAGGCTAATTGCTAAGAAGAAGAAATTAAAGCAGGAGCTTTTAGAGATGAGCAAGAAAATGGAGGAGATGGAAGATGATCTGAAGGAGCTTGTAAATGAAAATAATCAACTAAAAACTAAGAATCTTTCAATAAAGAAGGAGATGCAAGAGATTGAAGGAGATGCAAGAGATTAGTAGGAGAAATCTAAAAAAAAAATTGCATCTATTGTAATTATTGTGATTGTGTTGCTTATGTTTGTGATAGGTGATAAAGATTAGAATGTAATTGTGTATTGTCATGAAAAAATTAGACTTTGCATAAAAAAAGGTTGATGTTTTTTGTATTTGCTTATGTTTGTAATTGTGTTTGATGTTTTTGTCACAATTTAATGTGTTTATGCATGTTAGAGGTCTAAACATATACAAAGCAGATGATCACAGAGCAGATGATCACAGATTTGACATTTCATTGTTACCACCTAAACATCATATATTTATTACTGTTACCACCTTACAAAATACAACTTACTATATATGTATAACATCTTATCTTTATCAACGTTTGACATGAACCACCTGCTATGTTAAGCAATTCACAACTACCACCAAAAATTTGAAATATAAACAAATTATAACAACACATGAGAAAATAGCTACGGAAAATAGAACTCAAATCACAAAGCTACCATAATGATTTAAATATATGCATCATTGTGTTCAAACTGCAGTGTATATACAAACCACCTAAACAATTAATTGTTTTCATGGATACCACCTGTAATGTTAATAATCGGTACACATACCACCTTTTAAGTTCAGGTATATCACAGACCACCTACAGTTTACAAAATATTGTTTACACATTTACACAAGCCACCATAAGTTTCCAACATCATAGATAAACAAAATTTTCCAAAAAGACAACGAATCAAGGCTTCCATGCAGGCTTTGTTGCAGTTTTTTTTCCCTGGATGCATTTGTTGTGCTGCCTCCCTCACTTGTGCCACAGAAACGCAAATATTACCCCTTGTTGCATTTGGTGTTGTTTCTGCTGGGTTGGTGAGTGACCTGGTGTGTAGTCTTATGTGGGTGTAAATGGTTGTGAGAGATTAGTGGTTGTCATAAAGGGAATCTGTAGTTAAGACAAGAAGGAAAAAATGGAGAGTATACACAAAAATGAAATACTTGTGACATATCATGTGAGAATTAGGCCAATAAACACACATGACAATATTTACTCACCCGACCACTTTGTTGTG